AAGGGGTGCACAGAGGTAGACAAATATTCTAGAGGTGAAACTAGGGACGTAGTCGCCCTGATCCAATCCCATGAGAGGACACGCGCACACGCATAGAGGGATACGCAGATGTAGCAATCAAACCCACAGGGCCCACCCGACCCCCCGCAAAAGTAACAAACAAAAAGGCAACGCCCATCTTCTAGCTTCCCTTTCTCTCTCTCTTTCTTTCTTTCTATGTACAGACGGATAAACATATACAAACACACGTACAAATATATATATATATATATATATATATGTATGCATCTGTGTGTATATATGTACGAGAATCTTTGTTATTGCTGTTGAGTTACTTCGGCGTGCCTAGTGTTGCTTTGGGGGAAGTGGGAGCACGTCCACGGCGCGGAAATTATCGCCTCTTCTCGGCTTTTCTAACGACCTCCCCGAAGAGGCAAAAGGGCGGCATCAACGCATCCGCTTTCGTCTCCTTGTGCACCTTTGGCGTCACTCGCAGCGGCTGTGCGAGCGACCGCAGTCGTTCTGGATCGGCGTGCCGCTGCGCACGTGTCCCTTGCTCGCACGTTGCCGGTGGCGCGGCGGCGGCGTTGATGGCGGCCAACTCAGACACAAGCAGCTGCTTCCCATCGTCGTATTTAATACGCAGCGACGGCGGGCGCCAGTTGTCTTCCAGACCGTGGAATTTCGCCCGCTCCTGTGCCTCCTTCTGCGCCGGCGGCGTGCCGAAAATCCGCCGCTTCTCCCGCTCCCGACGCTCTCGCCGAAGCAGCTGCTGGTCGTACATGTGGCGCAGATGCCGCTCCATGTCCTGCTGCGTGAGGTACCGCGTGGGGGCGGGGTGGTACAACTCCCACTCCAACTCCGCCAACTTCCTTTGCCGTCGAAACACCTCCTCGTGCACCATCGCGTTCACGTAATCGTCTATTTCCTTTTGCGTGCGGTAGACCCGTGGCGGCGACGGGTACACCGCCGCCTCCGCCCGGCGCTGCGACTCCTGGCGGCGCCGCACGTCCTTGTGGTAAAGGCGGTGCACGGCGTCCCGCTGCATGCGGGGGGAGGCGTAGTACTCGACGTAGCGCGCCGCCTCGCTGTTGCCAACGTACGGGTTGGGCATCCCCCCTCAACCGGCGGTGGCGCGCGTGGGCAAAGCGGGGGGAAAAGGCGCGGGCAACACCAACGGGCAGGAGACGGGAATCCCCGACAGCAGCAGCAACGGCAACGAAGGAAGAAAAGAAGGAAGCCTCTCGCCGCTGCGGGTAAGACGGTCGCTGTCACTCCTCCTCCCGCAACCCCGCGCCGCCTCTCTCCCTCTCTCTCCCCCTCTCTAGTTACTTGTAGTGTGCGTGGAAGGCCCGGAATGGGCCGCGGTTGCCTGCTTCTCCGGTCGCCTACGCCGCCGCCGCCACACCAAACTGCGTCACGGGGGGCCACGGCCGTCTCCAAGAAGGGGATACACAATCAACGGTGCAACGGAAAAGGCAAAGCAAAAAAAAAAGCGAGGAAGGAGCGAGACAATTTAGGCGCTGAAGGACAATGACGCGCAGACTGCACGCACACACGCACACATCGAACGGGAGGCGGAGACGGCGGCAGAGAAGTGCCGCGTCGGATCCAAAGCAATACGCATATTTATATAAAATATATAAACATAAATATATGTGTGTAAGTAAGTAAAGAAGTACGTGCAACGATGCATGCTTGTTGCGTGCCAGCGATACCGCCCTTGTGGGGTCTACTCCTCAGGACTCCCTCTCCTCGCACCAAAACAATAATATTTAACACAACACGTCTATGACGCCGCCGCATGTTTCGTTACTTTTCCCTAATTTCCTCCTCCGCCTATTTCACCCACCTCCATTCTCTCCCTCGCTTTCTCTCTCTCTCTCTCCGCCGTCCCCGCAGCTCGCCGCAGAGAAGTCGTGGTGCCCATGGCTGCCACGCGCGTGTTTTTCGCCTCTCGCCCGCTGCCTCCGCACTCACCTCCCTCTCAGTTTAGCGGGCGACGGCTCTTCTCCCTACACCGACGCTGAGGGTGCGCAGGGGCAGTCTCCCGGCACCCCACCCGCCTGCACGCTTGGCAAACACAACCCAAAGCGTCGTTCCGGCGCGGACGGCGCGCCCACGCACACCATCACGCGGCCTCTCTCCACACCCCTGCCAGCATTGTCATACGTCCAATGCCCCATAATTCAAACAAGCTTAAAAATCCCGCTCGCACGGGAGCGATGGACTCCATTAAGTCCTGCAGAAGTGCAGGGTCCAGTTCAGCCGGTCTCCAGCACCGGCATGGAGGACGACGTGCACTGCACCAGCGGCATCAGCGTCCTGGAGGCGCCTGTAACGCTGGACGTTAGCGGCACAAGACTTGGCAGCATACGGCGTGCCTGCAGCGAGGAGTTGATGTGCAGCGCGGCGTACATGGCACGCGGGATGGTCGAGCTGCCAAAGACGCGCCTGCCAAACATGGCAACCCAAGAATGCACACAAACCAGAAAGAACTAAATACAGATGGCAATACCGCTAGCAAATAGGCCCGTAGGGGAGAATACTATACGCAGGAATAGTAATAATGATAGTACCGTGCGCTTTTTTCTTTTTCTTTTTTTCTTTTTTGTTTGCGCCTTCCCTCCTTCCCTTCAGACCCAAATACAGAAAACAAGGCCACCACAACGAGGAAGTTTAAAATAAAAAAATAAAAAATAATAAATAATAGCACACAGACACTCATGCATGTATGAAGGAGCCCACTGCCACAGAAAGAGGGGAGGCGTTTCACCAAATGCACGCCATATTTTTTTTTTCGTTGTTTGTTTTCCTCCCCCCTGTTCGCTCGACCAAGTCGTAGCACTTTACGTGGTTTGCTGGTGCTCCTCCTCCTCCACCTCCTCCTCTCTCCATCTGTTCCCCGCGAGGCAGAGGCAGAAAAAGAGAGAGAAAAGCTATTCATCGTCCCTGGTGTCGGCACGGGTCACTCACCCGATCTTCCATGTCGGCCCCACCTCGCATCTTCGGGCCTCATCCCTCTCCACCTCCACGCAGCCGCTCTCTCTTCTGCATTGAAGCAGTTCCCGCAACTCCGTGACACTGACACGCTCATCAATGGCAGACCTGCAGCTCGCGCTTCAAGGCATTTAACTGCGACTCGACATGTTTCCATAATAAACCCACCTCCTCCGCCAGCCGCTCGCGGTCCACCTTGCGTGCAGTGGAAGGCAAATATGACTTCCAGAAACTCTCGAATCTGGAGTTCAGCAAACACCTCACTCGCTTCTCAGAAGCTTCCAACTCGTCGCGCACGAACTTTCGAACATGATCACTTATCCCTAAGAAGTCATGCTCGGTGTGGCGTTCCGCCCCTTCATCCATGCGCCTCTGGCTGTCAGTGACCAGCTCGAAACTCTCCTCCATGCCACGCTTGCATGTCACCACCGAACACTCCAACGATGGCAGCCGGCCCCGTAGCTCGGAACCCTTCACCCCCGCTGCGTCGTCTCCTCCTTTTTCCTGCATGGCGAGAACCGCACCCTCCAGGCTTGTTAGGCGATCGCCCAAGGCGGCCAGCTGGCCCGCGACCTCACTCGCGACTGCCAACGACGAGGAGCAGGGTTGGGGTTGTGCTGCAGACGACGCCTGCGCCCGTAGCTCAGCCACAGCCGCCTCAAGGGAGCTCACGCGAGAGTCAAAAGGAAGAATGACGTCGTGTAAATTCGACGCCATGTGTGTTGAATTCTCGCGGGCAGACTCCTCCAAGAGAGTCACGCGCTGCTCCAACGCACAGCGTGGCTGACTCACATCATCGCAACCCTCTTGGAGGTTCTCCACCTGCAGCTTCTGTGAAACGAAGACCTTTACTTCATCCGCGTACTGCTTGAACGCCTGCTTCTCTCTGCGCATCTCAGACAAGGCCTCCTCGGCAAAACGAACCTGCTCCAACGGGGCGAGGGCGTCAAACTCCTCCCTAAGTTTGGTCAGCTGCTGATCCAGCTTACACCTTGAAAGCATAGAGGTTAACTCATAAACACTGCGCCACTCCTTCGAGTCTGCCGTGATGCAAGACCTCACAGACCTTTCTAACGTTACTATGAGATCAGAGACCCTCTCAAAAGAGTCCCTTGATTCTTTTATTTCGGAGGTCACGTCCCGGAGAGAACGTTGCCCTGATGCTACGCTCTCCTCACAGAATTGCACATTCGCCTCCATCTCCCGCATCCGCGTCACAACTCGTTCCAGTTCCTTTTGAATAGCGCCACGTCGCTGCTCCTCGTCCTCTTGAAAAGACACGTTTTTATTAGCGACCTCCGCAATTTCCCTAGACAACCTCTCCACCCGTCCCTCCAGGGTGTTGCAAAAAAGCTGAAAGCCATCTAGCCGCACATCAGTTTCTTGAATTTTTCGCTGGGCAGATTGGAGCGCCTGATCGAGACGAACACCTAGTCGCGTAGCCTCAAGTTCGCCGCCCTCTGGAGAAGTCGTCGATGTATGGCGCACCCCTTCACGTGGCTCCCCCGCCGCAAACTTGAGCTCCAATGAGGCAATACGCTGCTGCAGCATCTCCAATTGGAGCAACGCTGGGGATAGCTTTTTATGCAAACCCTCCCGGTAACGCTCGTAAGTTCGGGGAACCTCCTCCACAAGGGCTTCAACCCGTAAAAACTGTTGCTGCATCTCGTTTAACCTCATGGCATAGAGGCTCAAACGCTCTTCTGCTTGCTTTACCGAACTCTTCATTTCAAAGAGTTCCAACTCGGACACATATTTTGTTACTTCCGGTTCTTGATCTGTCATGGTACGAGGAGCATCATTGTTAGGTGTATTCACCCCCGCGTTAGACATCTCCTGAAGACCCTTAAGCTCCATCGCAACAGCATTCATGTCCTTACGCACACAATTCAGGAATTCTTCATAATCATTTACTTGTTTTCCCAGTGTCTCCATATTTTCCCCCATGATTTCAACACTTTTTACAACAGTCATTGCTTTTTCACTTTTTCCATCCAAAAGCTCTAACGTTGTCCTGATTTCTTCTATCTCGCTCTGCTGTCTGCTTCGTTCCTCTGAAATGAACTGATGGATCTCTGCATACCGGCGCTCATTTCCCATTCTTTCTTTGGCCAACCCTTCCTGTATGATGTGTTCGATGTCAGCCATCAGATTAGGCCTCTCTATCGTGGACTCTATGGAGTCTATTCGTCGACGCAACTCCTCGATAAATACCATAACGCTCTCGTTCTTTTCATGCACAAGTCCAGCCACTTCTTCTTTAGACTGATGCAATTCACTGATACGCCTATTGAACCGTTCAAATTCAGTGCGATGTTGAGTTAACTGCATATCAAAGGTTCTTTTTAGGTCCTCCGTCAAAGCACTGTACATATCTTGCGTCTTTTGCACAACCGCCATCGCGGAGATTTCCTCCTCCTCTCGCTTACGATGAAGTCGAGATAGCTTCTCCGCCAAGTCTTGTGACTTCTGCAGCGCACTAAAGACGGCCTCAAAACGGTAATTGGAGGAAGTTTCCAACTGCTTCACCATCCCAAAGTTAGCATGAACTTTTTCATGCAAATCTGTGTAGGCCTTTAACAGTTTTCTGTTTTCCCCTTCACTTTCACGTTGGAACAACTTGAGTTCCCTCAAATTAGACTCATACTGATGAAACTGGATCCGAAGACTATCCATTTCTTCAGCTATTGTCTCCCCGACTTGCCGCCACGCCACATTGGAGCCCTCCAACTCCTTTCTGACCGCTGCCACCCCAACGCCGCCCCTTTCAGAGATCATGTCAACTTTCGCTTTCAAACTTTCAAGACTGCCCGATATCTCCTGGAATTTATTATTTACCGTTCGCTCCAACGCCATGGAGCGTTGATTCATTGTTTTCGGCAGGACCTTTAATTCCTCACTTACCCCATCATGCTTTGCAATGGCGTCGTGTTCCCGATCCTCAATTTGTCGAATGCAATCCCGCATTTGTTGCTGTTCTTCGCTTAAATGGCGCACCTGCTCGCGAATACTCCCCAGCACAGCAGAAAAAGAGGCTTGGACGTCATGGCACTCCTGCTGCAGGGTAAGTTCCGTTTTTTTCATTTCCAATTCGCGCTCCAACTGCTTCGACAAGATCCCTTTTATTAGGTGGTCATGCTCCTTCTGATTGTCCAAGAACGCATCGCAGGTAATACGATTATTCTGCACTTCATTGTTAAGCTGACGCAGTAAACTCCGCAGCACTGTCGGAATGTTCACCCATTCCTCCTCGTCATTGAGTATCGCATCTCTCTCACTAAAGGTCATGTATCCCAATGTGTGTTTTTTTTTTGACTCAACGCTTCACAGAATTACCAAAAAAAAAAAGCCAACCTTAGAAATCCAAAATGGATGCGGCCGAAAAATTGAAGTCAAAAAGTAATAATAATAAACGAAAAGCAAGTGGAAATATATATTTTTTAAAAAAGTTTCTTCACGATTTTTGTTG